TTAGTTCATGCCACCCGGCTGTCTTTGAACTGGTCGGACCTCATGAACATTGTTCCCAACAAGTTGGGAAAGAAACCTATTATTACCATTTCATCGGATATTCCTCACTGTTTATGACGTTGTACTCTTTTGGTGCAATCCGCACCCCCACAAATCCCCCAGTCATGCTTCATTCTGACTGTAACCATATGACCATGCCAGACGGTATGCCACCCACAAGTTGGGAATAAACATTATTGTTATTATTATTATTATACCTTCCCCCGCTGAAAGGACGTCTTGTCAGCAGCCTCGGTGGATCTTTTTCTGGTCTCCCACAAAGTTTTTGGGCTGAAACTGAAAGCTTGCTTTGAAGTCATATGGTCATACGTACACACCCGCAGGTCTGCGATAGTCTTTGTGGCCGCTCTTTGTTGCTCTCTACCTATCCGAACAGTTCAGAACAAGCGTTCACATAAATTCGATAGGCCATCAAGCGTCCGACTAGACGTCCACTTCGGTTCACTCACATGCCTCTTGCATAACAGTGATACAGTTCGTCGCATTACATTTTGTGGCACTGGATACATAGATTGACAGGAAGGTTGGATTCCTGAAAATAACCCCGTAATGCCTGAGTTCACTCACGTGCCTTTTGCATAACAGTAATACAGTTCGTCGCATTACACTTTGTGCCACTAGATACATAGATTGTCAGGAAGGTCGGATTCCTGAAAATAACCCCGTAATGCCTGAAATCTACTAATATCCACCGAAATCTCCATAAGGAAGCCGGTAAGAGTCAAGGTCAGTGATTCAACTAACCAATAAATAAATTCACTAACAGTCCTGGCCGTTGAAAATTGAGAAGCAAATTATCGCGAGTCCCTTATAACATTTGCGCTCACTTGCTCTCAATAAACCTGTTGTGCTTCTTGTTGGCGAGCACTGGGCCACTAAGAAAGATCCACCAAGATAAGATGCCAGTGACATTGTGCTTTTATTTCAGATGAGAACGCCCGAAATTCGAGAAAATCTGAACACTTTCCGATTCGAGTGTGCGAGTTTCTTGCTTGGTGTCGACATAAGCATTTGTGGGATACATTCATCTACGCGCAGCGTTATGTGGAAAATTCGAGAAAATTTTAACACTTTCCGATTCGAGTGTACGAGTTTCTTGCTTGGTGTCGACATAGGCATTTGTGGAATACATTCATCTACGCGCAGCGTTATGTGGACATGCAAGTCCATGAAGAATGCAGCCAACTTGTGTCCGAAAATGCAGCGGAATGTGGTTAACACGAAACGGGTGTACCGGCTGCTGCAGGTCGTCATAGTTTCGGGATTTCATGTTTGTGAACACCAAATACGATGCCGCGTCCTTTCCTCAAACGTTTCATCGTTTTTCGCATTTTCTGCACCGAGGAATGTACCCTGGCATTAGCACTTAGACAGCACTTGACACCATTTACTGCGCTTCCAAAGCGATAGCACCGGTCAAAGACCACCTGGGTAGTTTAGCCAATTAGTTGTAAAATAGTGTAGAGCAGGCTGTGTTTTACCATGAACAACGACCTCGAAAGCACCCCCGAATGTAACAAACAGCTGCAGGCTGGACCATATAAGATCGCTATCAAAGCAAGGACCTGGTTGTTGCAAGTAGTCCATATCATCTCGTCGCAACCAGCCCAAAAACAAGAAAAGCTTTCTGAATGAGAACTTCCACATGTTCAGTCAGGGTAGGTCGGCTTGCCAGAAAAAATGGCCTGCTGGGCCGTTCAGCTCAAGAGAACTTGAGGAGCATATCAGGTTGCATCTAAATTCATGGCAAGTGCCTCGACAGATGTATGGTAACGGCGCCGGTAAACATCAACAGACGTAAATATCTTGATGAATAAGAAAGCTAGCACCTGTTATGGTGGTGTTTATTCGACTTCCTGTAGAAGAAAAGATGTCTGGACAGACGCTTTCAAACGTAACTCCTGCGGGTTTGTGCCTGAAACCTAAAGCGATTAACGGCGTCAGGAATTTCGTACCTTTATTGAGCATCAAGATCTACCACTTTTTGGGCTACGGACATTTAATTACTACGGGATACTAGACAGCCGAACCCTTGGACTGGGTACCGTGCAATGCGGCAGTACCAAAGGACTGATCCATGGAGGTAGGAGTTTAAGACTATTTCCACGGATGGAATATTAAGAGAACTGCATAAGCCGAGTTCCTCACCAATATACATATACACAAACAAAAATGGGAGAAACGATAGACTGCAACTGCTTATTCGGGGACTCCAGTTTCCCATGAAGCCATGAACGGTGGCTTAGTAAAAAGGACGCTCCTGTATCAGCAAGCTTCCGACGGTCACGAAAAACTGGAAGCCTCCTGCTGATGCTTCTAATTAGCGGCCCTTGAATAGAATTGAATTGGATACCGCAGTTGACTTTTGTCGGACTGTGCTGAGGCGCGCGGATTCCAAATTGGAAAATGGCATCTTTATCTGCTTCATCGTTCGCGCTATCCGTGACCATATGGACTTTTTGATGTGATCCACGTTAATAACACCGCTAGGAAATCATCCCATAAGCCGATTTCTTTTAATAAATGGAAAGTCACCGTCTGCAAGCTTGTGGGACTGAAAGTAGTAGCTTTTTGCAAGAGCTTTCAGAACCTAGCGGTTGCAGTTACATAAGTAGCCCCCATATTCAGCCAACTGCGTATCCCGACAGCGGGTTTCTTACTCCTGCAGTTTTGTGTCCCGAAGACAATCCGTCTACGATGCCATCAAGCTTACCTGATCCAAAGAGTCACTGTATGTCATCGCCTTCGTACCCTCCGACTACGGGCCCAGCATGGAATTTCGCACAGTCTCGTGTTAACCCTTATGTTTCATCGGCTCTTCCCCAGCGTAATAATCCATGTTGGACAGGTACTGCTGGTTATTCCCAGGTCTACCACCCATCCTCCCCATGTCCACCATACGGTGATTTCCCTCAGAAATCCACCCACCTCCAACTCGCTCCACCCGTTTCTCGGCCATACGGCTCAGATGGTGCGGCACCTACTGCCGATGGTCGTTCACGTGTGGCCGACAGGATGACTCCGTGTGTAAATGAAAAACCCCAAGTGGTCGTTCGTCAGAGCAACTCAGCATACGGTTCCGTGCCGGGCGGTGACCACAAAATTGTTTTTTCTACTCAGGACACTCACTCCCAGCGGCTTACCGACGGGCAGTCTTTTCCTGCTTACACGTCCGAAGATGAAGCTACAAGGATACATGAGCGTCTGTCATTTATTCACCAGTCGTCGACTTTATCGGCCGCTGCTCAACAAGAAAGTCAATTTTTGAGGGAACGGTTAAAAGTATTGGGTGCAAACAAATCTTCCACAGCCTATGCTAATCCCATTAATAACCCTGGGGGTCATAGTGGAGCCCCTCTCGGCAGTCACATGTATCCATTTTCCGCTTTCGAAACAGCTCCCACGCACCCTAACCAGTCAAGCCCTCCTCCGGTAACATGCGCTGAGCATTTGGTGCGTCAAGTTGAACAAAATCAAGCGTTTTCATCGGCATCCCAGTCATTTCCATCCAGTGACACTCACAAACCCCCTACCCATACGCTTGTGGATAATGGGCTGGCTTGCGTGAATATGCCGCAAGCCTGCTACGGGCCACCTGCTTTTATCGATGTGAATGTGAGTATAGCTGGAACATGCGCCGAACAGACATCTACTTATGTCGAAGCAGATGGTACACAATCCCTTCCTATCGGTGCTCAAATGAGAGATCATCCCATGCCGATACAAGAGGTCCCTGTAGGCGGGACTTGTCAAAAACTGCAAGAGACTTCCATCTCCAATCCAGTAATATCCACCATTCCTCCTTCAATGCTCAATTGTGACTTGCAAAAGTGTACTTCAGGACATTCCATGAACGACAGCCTCCCACCTAAGCCTCACCGACCTAGCCTAGCCAGTTTCACTCACAGCACATGCCCATCCACTCCTGGTGCGACGGTTCCTATTTCCCCTGCACCTTCCCCGGCAGTGTTTACTCACACACTTCACGATGGTTCCAGTCCTACGGCTGTACCATCTGTCGGTCGTGATCCTGTGCCCATCCATTCCTTTTCGACTTCTGACAACCCTCCACCAGTTCCCTCAGCATGTGTCAGTCAGTCTCCGGTTCTTTCTGGTCGGTCCACCCTTCATTATAGACAGTCAAGCAGCACCCAACAACCTTCGCATTTCGCCGCCCCATTTACTAGCACCTCTGCCGATTGTAATATTACGCCTTCCCAACTGAGAAACGGACCCGGACTTCAGAACGCCCAATCCCCATACCACTCCTCAAGACATCCTTTCTTGGGTCATCAAATGTCACCGATCGATAGTCCTGCTGCTGCTTATCAGTATAATAAATACCAGGTAAGCCACTTTTCACTATTCCAAGGAACAACTCAGCTTTTTGCTAGAGGACCTGCTCACGCTCAGGCCGTTTGATTAGCAAGCATTTTTGTCAGCCACATTCAAACCAAAATTTAGCTACTAAATAGTTACCCGACGCTCCTTGTTTGTCACTGAGACAGAAGTTTACAAGTCCGGTTTACGAACAGATGCTTGATACGATCAGCAACAGCATCAGTTTTAGGACTCAGTGGGTGTGCATTGGTTCTCTGCTCGTTTTGTTCGAAGCCCTTCCGTAACCTGGCTGGCGTTCGGCACAGATGCTACTCTCGCTAATCGCTAATTGAGGTAAGCTCGCGCATCTGGGCTGGTTCGTGATTTTACGGCCTTTACTGCTGCGTAGATAGACTGGTAGGCAGATGTGAATATGTGCTTCTCCGCTACCGCCTCGGTAATATCTAGATTCTGGTTCGTCATCGAGAGCCATTAATTACGGACATCGGCTTTCTTTGAAATTACACTTTATAAAGCAGTGAAAAGGAAACCGATTTTCTGTTCTATTGGGGAGTGGCCCAGTCATTCTCTGGCCGGTTAATTTGGGCAGTTGTTTGGCGTACTATGCTGCGCGACTAATCGTATCAACGAAAATAAACTGAATAAACTCTAAAGCTCGAACTAGCTAGTCATGTGCTACGCATGCCGAAACACCGTCTACCGAGACGAGTGTTGTTCTCCGTGCCTCCTTCAGGATGGCGCAAACCGCGAGGTGGACAGCACATGACTTGGCA